AAGAGAGTCTCTTGAAGCCCTGGCACAAAGGAATATAAACTGGGTGCCTTCAGGAACCACTAAAACAGATGTATAAAGAAGAAGCCAGCTCCTCATAATACAGTCCTAGCCAACTCCAGATTCCCTCCTCCTTCCCAGAATGGGATAAACAAAAGGGTTAAACATCAATTTTTGCCCAACTGCTTCTGGCTACTTTCCTTCAGCTTTGGGTTGTGGGTGGCAGTACAGAAGTGTGAGCTGGCATGGCCATCAGTGTCTGCTGACCCAACCCAACTGCCCTCCAATACCCTCTTGCTCATGCCTCCCAGCTGAGGACAAAGGCATGGGGGCCTCCCACCCCCAGAATCTCTAACAAGACTTGAGCTACCCCTGAGTCAGAGAGGCATCAAGATGCAGCCACCACTTCCTCTCTGGAAGGGAAGTCATTCCAAGGTCTCCAGGTAGAGAAGGGAGCATTATGGCATAAAATTTACTGTTGGAAGATAATATTGAACACACACACAAACCCACACTTCTTGGGTGGTGGTGGGGTTCTCTTAACTGAATGGAGTCCAGACCCATTTCCAGGATAGGGTTCTCTGCAGCTATCTTTCCTTCACGAAGCCCCAAGTATTGACAGGGTGACCCCAGCCCAGGCAAAAAAGGGCTCCTGAGCTCCCCTAGACAGCTTCCCTGAGAGCGGCTTTTTGGCCCTCATGCCCTGGGACTAGCCAGAGTAAGGGGATACACAGTCTATTTGGGGGACTATGCAACTCTCCCATACTACCTCCTCCACAATCCCAGGCTTTGTGACTGCTCCCTTCTTCCCAACCCCCTGCCAGCTGGCCTGCAGCCTGCAAGCCTCACAGCTCACAGAGAGCCCCTCTGCCAGATCCCTTGCTTATTTAGCTTTCCAGGTTACCCCCACTATCATCCCACCCCAATCTCTGGGGTGGCGGGGAGACAGTAGGATTGCGGAGGAAGATGGGAGGGGGCTTTCTTCGTTAGGCGAGCAAGGGCTCCTAAAATGGCCACAGCGAGCTCTCTGGTATCTCAAGGACAGCGGAGAGGGGAGGGCAGTGGGCAGAGGCTAGGGGGCTTACAGCAAGGCGGCTGGTGGAGGAGCTGGGGGTGGGGCTAGGGGACTGAGGCTCAAGCAGGGGAAGCCAGGGTTATATGCACTCACCATTCCTGTTCCGCCCCTTATCCACTGCATGGTGCCTGCTTCTCCGAGGCCCTGGTGGCTGGCGCAGGTTGTCTGGGGTTGGCTGGTTTGGCAGGGCTGGAGCAGGGAAAGCCCCAGCACCCTCTCCGTCTCCCCTCCTCCACAGTACTATGGCCCAATCCCCTCCGCCTTGGACCTTGCCTTCAGTCAGGCTGTTTCATCCCAGCCCGCAGGCTCTGCCTC